TAAGATAAGTCACAATATAAAGGTTAATGTCGACTTTACGACATGTTTGTGGTTGTCATCATAATCTCGTTTGGTAATATGATATTTTCTTGTACGAAGTATGATAGCTGTGTTCGATGCTCGTCGGTTTTGTTGTTGCCAACACCGATCTCGTTTAATAACGATATTAAGCCTTGTTTGACGAGTGTAGCCTAAGTGTTGAAAAACTACTTTCTACTCCAAAGCACGTTGTCGTAATTAGCAGCTGCATATCGTTTTAAATCTTTTTACTCTGAATGCTCACCCGACGTTTCAAACATATATCAGTTTGGATGGAAGTAAGCATTCTATTACACTGCATGTAATCCCCTCTTAGCAAGGCAAAATAAAGTTAATTTTTTAGTGACAGTAAAAGTACAATTCATTATTTTTCTAATGAGAGACAAGATAAAGTTAATTAATTTTTTAGTGACAGTAAAAGTACAATTCATTATTTTTTTTAATGGGAGACAAAATAAAGTTCATTAATTTTTATTGAGACTTGTAAATCTTTCGTTTGTCTCCATACTTTCTTCACTTAATCGGTTTTGGGTTTTTGCTAACATGTCAATGTTTCTAAATGACTACATTACAGGTATTGAACATATGAAGTAGAAAGGCAGATAGTGCAGAGCAAGGGAATTATTGAGGAATCAATGTCCGATCTCAGACCTTGGATTCTGTGGATGCCAGTGGTTTTGCTTACATCTTATGTATAAGACCAGAGACCGATTGATGTATGCTGTTTTATACCGGCACAGTGAATCCTGGTGTAATACTTCTCGTTATCGGGTTACCCTCCAACTCTCCGTCATATAAAATTTATTATGATTTACCAAAGTTGAATATAATAAATACATACCGAATGATATTACAGTCCCACCCCGTTATCTCGAACTTGTATAACTCAAAGAACTCGTTTAATTCGAAGCATTTCGAACTCACTTAAATCAAATATTCGGTTATCTCGAAGTTTTCCCATGGTCCCATCGATTTCTGGATAACGAGGTTCGACCGTACGAACTACGTTTATGTAGCACTGGTGGCGGTACACCAAAAGCACAAAGACCACATGATATGTTGTACCACTTATCCAAGAGACTAATAAGTACTGTAGGTTAAGATATTTGGTCATGTATATATCAATTGCACATTAAAAAAATAGTTTCAACAAAATATTTGAAAGATGTTTCAATGATATTGTATATATTTTTCCATTTGGTAATGTCTAATTGAATTGTTGTTTAAGAATGACATTTATGAATAGACATGTCAAACGTCAACATATCACTTTACATAAAAGTTAATGAGATTTTTAACCCCCGATGTCTATACACACCCATCTCTCCTACAGAAACGTGACCGTATACATTTTAACATGGCTTACTGTCAGTGTCCTAAAACCTTCTCATGACCCAAACGTAAACACAATAGAACGTTATTTTCTCATTTTTTAGCTCGTGTTTATGTATTAGAAATTTAACAACATACTGTAATTACGTCATTCACTTGATTAAAAAAACTCTCAAGCGTAACAATGCAGTTTGTTTGTTGTTAATTTGATTTGAAGAGCACTTGCTGGTTATTGTGGAAGGCGATACGGACCCTGATTGTGATGTAGTGATTTATGGGACACAGATGGTAGATGTTTTGAACCTTGTCGGCTTAAATATTTTCTGATCATACCCTACCAGGAACGTTTGTTACAGTAAATTGTAGCGTGGAGAGTTACAATTTAATTTAGCGAGACCACACACTTGTTCTGAATCAGACATAAAACCACAGACTTATTTCTCTGCATTCAATTCTCAGATAATCAAATAAGAAGGCATGTTAAATAATAAACTACGAGAAATTATCATTATGCGATTTGGTAAAGGAAAATGTTATGTCATATTCCAAAGTTCATATTGTCTATATGTCGGTCTACCACCCAGAAGTGAGGTGACATTGTGAGGGAAGTCTGACACCTCGACCAGAATGTTTTTATCACGAGTATTGCGTTACAAGCTGATTTAGAAATCAACATTATGCATGAATTGCATTTAAGTTTACAAACATCTTATTTGATCAGATTTCAGTAAGACAGCTCTGTTTTTCTTTTGTTCCTTTGATGGAGATATTTTTATATACTGTACAATCACTCATTTTCGTGGGGAATTTATTTCGCTGATTCCATAGGAACTCCCCGAATTTGATCAGATTTCAGTAAGACAGCTCTGTTTTTCTTTTGTTCTTTAAATAGAGATATTTTTATATATTGTACAATCATTAATTTTCGTGGGGAATTTATTTCGCTGATTCCATAGGAACTCTCCGAATTTGATCAGATTTCAGTAAGACAGCTCTGAGTTTTGTTTTGTTCTTTAAATAGAGATATTTTTATATATTGTACAATCATTAATTTTCGCGGGGAATTTATTTCGCTGATTTCAATCGGACTCCACGAATTCATATGTTAATAGATTGATGGAATTAGCAAAAAATATGTTTATCGGACTATATTTATCAACTAAATCAAGTGTCCAGAAAACAGGAAGTTTTTGTAAAAACCCCACGAAATAAAGCCCCGCGAAAATACGTGTTTTTCATCAAATACTTTTGTTGACTTAGTATGATGAATGTGTTTATTATCATGTGAATATGAGTTCATGGTGCGTTAGGGAACTGCGACTGCCTGATTTGGAAAGGGAATATTTCTTCTTATTTCAATGTCATACTAATCTTTGGAGAGACAAAGATTGTTTTAGAGAGACAAAGAGTGTTTTAGAGAGACAAAGAGTGTTTTAGAGCGACAAAGAGTGTTTTAGAGAAAGACAAAGAGTGCTTTAGAGAGAGACAAAGAGTGCTTTAGAAAGACAAAGAGTGCTTAAGAGAGAGGCAAAGATTGTTTTAGAGAGACAAAGAGTGTTTTAGAGAGATAAAGAGTGTTTAAAAGCGACAAAGAGTTTCTTAGATAGATAAAGAATGTTTTAGACATCTGTTTTAGAGAGACAAATAACGTTTAAGAGATCCAAATAGTGTTCTAGAGAGACAAAGAGTGTTTTAGATAGACAAAAAGTGTTTTAGACAGACAAAGAATGTTTTAGACAACTGTTTTAGACAGACAAATAGTGTTTAAGAGAGACAAAGAGTGTTTTAGAGAGAAAAAGAGTGTTTTAGAGAGACAAGGACTGTTTAGACATTTGCGAGCTAAAATGCTAATTTAACGTCATGAGTACATTGGACATACTGTGTTGCCTTGGTCCATATGAAGCTAGTTGTGATCAATGTTCATTAGTAAGCATGACAGTTTTCTTATTTTTAGATTTTAAGACCATAGAGATTAACATTGATTTACATAGCGGCTATCATAGATTAATAAGTTGACACTTCGCCTTCAGGAACACCTGGTCTTATTCTTTTTCGACTTTTGGAAGGAATTTCTGAGTAAAATGTTTCTTTTGTTCCTATTTTGTCCTTGTTTTATCAATTTTAGATATGAATTACGATTTTGTAGGCATGCCACTATTGACGGCATATTGAAGAAATAGATGTATGACGTCAGTACATTTTGACGTCACACTAAAGATATAGATATGTGACATCAGTACACATTGACGACTCACTGAAGAAATAGATGTATGACGTCAGTACACCTTGGCGACACTAGGAAGAAATAGATATGTGACGTCAGTACACCTTGACGACACACAGAAGAAATAGATATGTGACATCAGTACACATTGACGACTCACTGAAGAAATAGATGTATGACATCAGTACACCTTTACAACACACTGAAAAAATAGATACGTGGCGTCAGTACACCTTGACGACACACTGAAAAATAGACATGTGGCGTCAGTACACCTTGACGACACACTGAAAAAATAGATACGTGACATCAGTATACATTGACGACACACTGAAGAAATCGATATGTGACGTCAGTACATTTTGATACCACACTGAAGAAACAGATGTATGACGTCAGTACATTTTGACGTCACACTAAAGATATAGATATGTGACATCAGTACACATTGACGACTCACTGAAGAAATAGATGTATGACGTCAGTACACCTTGGCGACACTAGGAAGAAATAGATATGTGACGTCAGTACACCTTGACGACACACAGAAGAAATAGATATGTGACATCAGCACACATTGACGACTCACTGAAGAAATAGATGTATGACATCAGTACACCTTTACAACACACTGAAAAAATAGATACGTGGCGTCAGTACACCTTGACGACACACTGAAAAATAGACATGTGGCGTCAGTACACCTTGACGACACACTGAAAAAATAGATACGTGACATCAGTATACATTGACGACACACTGAAGAAATCGATATGTGACGTCAGTACATTTTGATACCACACTGAAGAAACAGATGTATGACGTCAGTACATTTTGACGTCACACTAAACAAATAGATATGTGACGTCAGTACAACTTGACAAAACACTGAAGAAATAGATGTATGACGTCAGGACATCTTGACACCGTGATCAATAACATTAGATGCAATACAAGTAACAGAGTTAATTTAGTATTTTCTTGTTCTAAAGTCATCTATCGATACGTCAATATTTGTTGTTTTGACATTATTTTAAATGGGCCTACACGCATTGTCAAATAACAAGAAAAAGTACAAGAAGGTAAAGCGCACATGTTACATGTAACTGTATGAGTTTAATGAATCGCTAGTGAACAGGAACTAGATTTCCTGTTTAAAATGTGAATGAAGTATTTAAAAAATATTTGAAACAATCTGTAGGGACAATAATTTTCTAGTAACAAAAATAAAATGTAAGTACGTATATGGTTCACGTTTTCAATAACGTGATCTAAAAAAAATATTCATGGTATGAATTGGCTGAACATCATTGGCTGGAATTAAAGTCTCAAATGTACATATGTAAATGTTTGTGGTGCAGCTCATCAGGAGGCCCCAAAGATTGATATCACAGAGATAGGACGGTTGACAAGGCGCTACATCGATAGAGGATTAACATGTTCTCCTGCTATCCGTTAGTATATCTATATAATTTCTTATATACTCGTATATCTTTTACTTATATTAGTGAATACTTTTGAAAAAAAGTTAAGAATTAGGATAATTATAGTTAAAACCAGGAAACAATCATTTTTTTTTTGAAATGATGTTTTTAAAAAGGCGTGAAAAGGAATTGAAAGGAGAGCTTTGTTGACTTGTCGGTATTATCATTATGTGTCCTGCGTTTTTGTTTTTGTTTGTTTGTTTGTTTGTTTGGTTTATTTTTGCTTTTTTTGTTTTGTTTCTTTCTTGTTATCGTAATGTTATTCGTCATTCTTTTGTAAACTTTTCTCCAATATACTTTTTCTCTCACACATAATTACCGACTTGGGTTGTATCAAAATACATACCGGCATCGTTATTTTGATGGTATACTCTTTAACTTATGTTCTGTCAAAGTTGTATTTTAAACTACTCTTTTCCTAATTTCCAGTTATACAATAGCTAATAATTATCATTATTCTGTCACTACATATCACACGATAACTGCATCCGTCTTCCATTTACCAAGTAAGACTTAAATTATTGACAATCATACCCCTACTCCAATACATTTCATTGACTTAAATACATGTCTCCTCACTCCTGGAGAACAATTCGTCTATCCTGACATTATGGTCATATTAACTATGGCGAACAGCAACAGATGAAGCAAAATCTTATATATGTATCTTGGGAAAAATAAAAATGTGTTCCATAATTATGAAATCCGATCAAACGTCTTACATTAGCTCAGAGAAAGGCAGGGTTAAAAAACAAAGCCCCTAATTTCGTTTATGATAAAAATTTACGGATTGTCAAGGCGTGTATGTATTTTCCTGATATGATTGTATGTTTTTTCTATGTCTTCCATATTCATTGTTAAAATGAGGCTTTTAGTGTACAGCAATGCCACACAGGTCTTGTATAATATTATTGGAAATTACATGAAAAGACAGGTCAGACTTAGCTTTAAAAAATCAAGAAAATACCAACATGGTAACATAATCAAAAATTAAAATTCAATTTTCATAAAACTAGGGCAAAATGTGACCAACATAACTATTTACACAAAGACTCCTGTATAAGTACAAGGAAAATAAGACCATGTGTTCCGGAAGAGTAAGCGTCTTCTGCTTCATCGACGACACCCGCCATGTCAACATTGGTCAATCCAAGTAAGTAATGTCACGTTCTCAAAAGAGAACACGGTAAACAACAGCTGACTAACTAACGAGCATCAAACACGTCCAGCTTCATGTCACACAAAGACATAGAATATTTCTCAATGAGATCACTACGGCGAAAATAAAACTTCAACATAATTTTCATCAACCTGTATCATTTGAACCCTTGTGTTACAAGGTTGTCAGTCAGTTGACGACTATTTGCAATAAAATGGTAATAAGAGGAACTGGGCCGTGAGAATCAAAGTTTAATTACCTATATACTAACACTGGATGATGTTGGTTCACACTTAATTTGTAACCGTTCACTTATTCAAAACAACTTGTTGATATTATGATGGCACTGTATCCTGCCTTTTCGTGTCGATGCTCATCATGTGTCGACGTTAAAGCATACCTTGTCGCTGTATGTCGACGCAGTATTTCATCTTCTCATGGTGTCTATACTGTAGTATATCTTGTCACTATGACCATTATGTGTCGATGCTGTAGCATATCGTGTCATTTCATGTCGATGCCGTAGAACATCATGTCATATCATGTCGATGTTGTAGCATATCGTGTCATTTTGTGTCAATTTAGTAGCATATCGTTTCATTTTGTGTCGATGTTGTAGAATATCGTGTCATTCTGTGTCGATGTTGAAGCATATTGTGTCATTTTGTTTCGATGTTGTAACATATCGTGTCATTTTGTGTCGATGTTGTAGCATATCGTGTCATTTTGTGTCGATATTGTAGCATTTCGTGTCATTTTTGTGTCAATATTGTAAAATATAGTGTCATTTTGTGTCTCTTTTGTAACATATCATGTCTTTTTGTGTCGATGTTGTAGCATATCGTGTCATTTTATCTCGATGTTGTAGAACATCATGTCATTTTTTGTCGATGTTGTAGCATATCGTGTCATTTTGTGTCGAGTTAGTAGCATAGCGTGTCATTTTATTTCGATGTTGTAGAACATCATGTCATTTTGTGTCGATGTTGTAGCATATCGTGTCATTTTGTGTCGATGTTGTAGCATATCGTGTCATTCTGTGTCGATATTGTAGCATATCGTGTCATTTTGTGTCGATGTTGAAGCATATCGTGTCATTTTGTGTCGATGTTGTAGAAAATAGTGTCATTTTGTGTCGATGTTGTAGCATATCATGTCTTTTTGTGTCGATATTGTAGAAAATAGTGTCATTTTGTGTCGATGTAGAATATCGTGTCATTCTGTGTCGATGTTGAAGCATATTGTGTCATTTTATTTCGATGTTGTAGAACATCATGTCATATCATGTCGATGTTGTAGCATATCGTGTCATTCTGTGTCGATGTTGTAGCATATCGTGTCATTCTGTGTCGATGTTGTAGCATATCGTGTCATTTTGTGTCGATGTTGAAGCATATCGTGTCATTTTGTGTCGATGTTGTAGAAAATAGTGTCATTTTGTGTCGATGTTGTAGCATATCGTGTCATTTTGTGTCGATGTTGTAGCATATCGTGTCATTTTGTGTCGATGTTGTAGCATATCGTGTCATTTTGTGTCGATGTTGTAGCATATCGTGTCATTTTGTGTCGATGTTGAAGCATATCGTGTCATTTTGTGTCGATGTTGTAGCATATCGTGTCATTTTATGTCGATGTTGTAGCATATTGTGTCATTTTGTGTCGATGGTCTAGCATATCGTGTCATTTTATGTCGATGTTGTAGAAAATAGTGTCATTTTGTGTCGATGTTGTAGAAAATAGTGTCATTTTGTGTCGATGTTGTCATTTTATGTCGATGTTGTAGCATATCGTGTCATTTTATGTCGATGTTGTAGCATATCGTGTCATTTTATGTCGATGTTGTAGCATATTGTGTCATTTTATGTCGATGGTCTAGCATATCGTGTCATTTTATGTCGATGTTGTAGAAAATCGTGTCATTTTGTGTCGATGTTGTAGAAAATAGTGTCATTTTGTGTCGATGTTGTAGCACATCGTGTCTTTTTATGTCGATGTTGTAGCATATCGTGTCATTTTGTGTCGATATTTTAGCATATCGTGTCATTTTGTGTCTCTTTTGTAACATATCATGTCATTTGCGTCGTTGTATCATATCTTGTCATTTTGTGTCGATGTTGTAGACTTATCATTACATCGACAGTTGACACTATAATATATATCTTGTCTTTGGGTATTTGCTCTATGTTAAATGTTAGTGTTGCGTACTTGTGAAAAACAACCATTCTGATATACATAATAATGCCAAACGTGTTTAAAACCAACTTAACAAATATGTACCCATATGCTGTAAGACAAGTGTCATGTGACGAAAAATGTTTGTACTGTTTTGAATTATATAAACCATGAATTGATATCCGTTAAAATCAAAACAACCTTATCTGTACACTATCTTGCGCAGTCTTGAAAGAAACGTCGTGTTATAGATAGCTGGCATTCAATCTTTAGTTTTTTCTAGCATATCTATTTACGAACCCTATGTGACCTGAATTACACGTGTAAGTTCAAAAACATAACGCCTGCAGTGTCAAACATCTGCAGTATTTGATGTGAAAAGCGTCAAATTAACAACCAGAAATGAAAATGTGGACACTGTTTCGTATTATCAAAAGAAATTCAATCAATGTTTAATGCCTGCGGGTGTTGCGGACAGGATGAAATGTCAGTACTCTCTTGTCATCAGATTCCATTGTTAATATGATAGCCGTATCAACGTTCCGTAAACAATTACAAGCAATTTTAAATGAAATGCAAATTTGATGATGCTGTGTGAAATGAGTATGAAAATGCATAGCACATAGTTAGACATTCCTATTTCAGAAATAGAAATAACACTCTGTCTTACGACATCGATTCAGTCTACTTGATAACAAAACGATATATATATATATGCACAGACAAACGTTTAGTAAGAGGTTTTAAAAATGATTTACAAACTTAAATCAAACTTTGATATAGGAAAATAAACTCACCCTTCAAGAACTTACAATTAAATTAATAAATGATAAAAAAAAAAAAAAAAAAAAAATCCAAGTCGTCAACTCTACTCAGTTGATAAATCATGAAATCAAAGTCGTGTTCTCAAAGAGAAAAGCAGGGTAGCGACAACGGACTCAAGATGTATATGTCAATATAGTAAACGTATTTTCTTCATAATAGCACAATTCTTAATTGCTTCATCAACAACAAAAAGATGCGTTATTCATTTTCCAAAATAAGGCGCTTTCCTATGACATCGAAATCAACTTTGACATTGATAGAAATATCGGAAAACGGAAAAGCTGGAGTACTGCGTTAAAGAAATGAAAAGCTTGCGACATTGGAATCGGTTCTGATTATCATTAAGTTTACATATCCGTGTATGCACAGGAAAACAGTATTAAAAACCTGTTCAATTCTTAAATACTTAGTTTATTATCGGAGGTAGTCGACAGGAAAACGATCCCATAAGATAAGTTTAAATCGATGTATAGAAATGTCCTTCGATGATTCTATAAACACATGATCTGGAAGTTAGATAAGATGTCCTATTACACTTTATGTATCCTCTTCTTCACTAGGGGAAAATGGAGTTCGTAAACTTTTAATGGAAATCTTTTGTTTACTGATAAAGCTTTTGGCTTCGTCTTTCACTTTCATCAAATTCTTTTCGTCAGAATCAAACGGTGTCTCCATCGTCTTTCCTAAAGAAAAAATAATTGTTTATGCCGAAATTTTTAATTCAATCGGCTGCTTTTTCGTCATCATATGACAGCATAAAATAGTTTGGTTCTTTGAAGATAACTCCTGAATGAAATTTTGTTCATATTTTTCATCCGGGGTGTAGTAAGGTCAAGGACAATGGAACTATAAATAAACGAAGCATTTATGCAGGATTATTTCAGTATCTTTTGACAAATCAATATTAAATTTCGATTTAGATCTTCGTTATCGAACGGTGTTGATTGTTTGTAATATTTTTTTTCAATTCTGTAAATAAATAACAACATCAATTGATATACCATATAAACCATCATTTCGCATAACGAGATTTGTTTTGTTCGATCACATACATTATTGGAGTTTTTCTTCCTACAAACTGTTGTAATTGTTTTTCACAAGTTTGAAAATTTACTGAATCAAACTTCAAAGTCTTGCATGCTATGAATAGCGATATTGTTCGAAAAGATACTGCAGATTGTATCAACTGATCAATTAAAAACCTACCGTGTTGCCTATGGAAAAGGGTAAATTAGAATTGTTTTGAAGTTCAAAATCATTGTAACAACACATAGTGATGCACAAAGGTGTCCGCACGGTTACGTTTGTTTCAATAAAACTGATATAGTGCTGCCGAACAGAAAGCAACTGATTCTTCGTTGGACAAACCAAACCCATACTTTCCTAGGGGATTTGGGATATGATTGCTTTTTGTCCTTTTTATTTCAGATTTTGTATAATTTTTATCTCGTGTAGTCCATGAGTTGTATAATCTGTTTCACTACTGTTTATTTATTTCCTTTTCACATTAAGGTCTTCGCACGGGAAATTCTTCTCTAACGAGTTGTCTCTACCAGGACGATTAAGACGTGCACTTTATAGAAAACCCTCTACCCGTGAGTAAACCTTATCTCAAGATAAACGCTTTTCTCCTTAAATAGACACCACCATCAGTTCTTATCAAAATACAACTGTATGTACTTACTTATATACAACTATCTGTACTTACATACAACTATCTGTACTTACATACAACTATCTGTACTTACATACAACTATCTGTACTTACATACAACTATCTGTACTTACATACAACTATCTGTACTTACTTACATACAACTATTTGTACTTTCATACAACTATCTGTACTTACATACAACTATCTGTACTTACATACAACTATCTGTACTTACATACAACTATCTTACATACAACTATCTGTACTTACATACAACTATCTGTACTTACATACAACTATACTTACATACAACTATCTGTACTTACATACAACTATCTGTACTTGCATACAACTATATGTAATTACTTAAATACAACTATCTGTACTTACTTACATACACCTATCTGTACTTACTTACATACAACTATCTGTACTTACATACAACTATCTGTACTTACATACAACTATCTGTACTTACATACAACTATCTGTACTTACATACAACTATCTGTACTTACATACAACTATCTGTACTTACATACAACTATCTGTACTTACATACAACTATCTGTACTTACATACAACTATCTGTACTTACTTACATACAACTATCTGTACTTACATACAACTATCTGTACTTACTTACATACAACTATCTGTACTTACTTACATACACTACTATACAACTCTGTATCTTACTTACATACAACTATCTGTACATACAACTATCTGTACTTACATACAACTATCTGTACTTACATACAACTATCTGTACTTACTTACATACAACTATCTGTACTTACTTACATACAACTATCTGTACTTACATACAACTATCTGTACTTACATACAACTATCTGTACTTACATACAACTATCTGTACTTACTTACATACAACTATCTGTACTTACATACAACTATCTGTACTTACTTACATACAACTATCTATACTTACATACAACTATCTGTACTTACATACAACTATCTGTACTTACATACAACTATCTGTACTATACATACAACTATCTGTACTTACTTACAACTATTACATACAACTATCTGTACTTACATACAACTATCTGTACTTACATACAACTATCTGTACTTACATACAACTATCTGTACTTACTTACATACAACTATCTGTACTTACATACAACTATCTGTACTTACTTACATACAACTATCTGTACTTACATACAATTATCTGTACTTACATACAACTATCTGTACTTACTTACATACAACTATCTGTACTTACTTACATACAACTATCTGTACTTACATACAACTATCTGTACTTACTTATTTACAACTATCTGTACTTACTTTACAACTATCTGTACTTACTTACAACTATCTGTACTTACTTACAACTATCTGTACTACTTACATACAACTATCTGTACTTACATACAACTATCTGTACTTACATACATCTATCTGTACTTACATACAACTATCTGTACTTACTTGCATACAACTATCTGTACTTACATACAACTATCTGTACTTACTTACATACAACTTACTTACACACAACTATCTGTACTTACTTACATACAACTTACTTACACACAACTATCTGTACTTACTTACATACAACTATCTGTACTTACATACAATATCTGTACTTACTTACTGTACTTACATACAACTATCTGTACTTACTTACATACAACTATATGTACTTACTTACATACAACTATATGTACTTACATACAACTATCTGTACTTACTTACATACAACTATCTGTACTTACTTATATATACAACTATCTTACTTACATACAACTATCTGTACTTACTTACATACAACTATCTGTACTACAACTACTTACATACAACTATCTGTACTTACTTACATACAACTATCTGTACTTACATACAACTATCTGTACTTACTTACATACAACTATCTGTACTTACTTACATACAACTATCTGTACTTACTTACATACAACTATCTGTACTTACTTACATACAACTATCTGTACTTACTTACATACAACTATCTGTACTTACTTACATACAACTATCTGTACTTACTTACATACAACTATCTGTACTTACTTACATACAACTATCTGTACATACAACTATCTGTACTTACTTACATACAACTATCTGTACTTACTTACATACAACTATCTGTACTTTACATACAACTATCTGTACTTACTTACATACAACTATCTGTATACAACTTACTTACATACAACTATCTGTACTTACATACAACTATATACAACTATCTGTACTTACTTACATACACCTATCCGTACTTACTTACATACAACTATCTGTACTTACATACAACTATCTGTACTTACATACAACTATCTGTACTTACTTACATACAACTATCTGTACTTACTTACAACTACTTACTTACATACAACTATCTGTACTACATACAACTATCTGTACTGTACTTACATACAACTATCTATCTGTACTTACATACAACTATCTGTACTTACTTACATACAACTATCTGTACTTACTTACATACAACTATCTGTACTTACTTACATACAACTATCTGTACTTACTTACATACAACTATCTGTACTTACTTACATACAACTATCTGTACTTACATACAACTATCTGTACTTACTTACATACAACTATCTGTACTTACTTACATACAACTATCTGTACTTACATACAACTATCTGTACTTACTTACATACAACTATCTGTACTTACATACAACTATCTTCATACAACTATCTGTACTTACATACAACTATCTGTACTACTACAACTACTGTACTTATACATACAACTATCTGTACTTACTTACATACAACTATCTGTACTTACATACAACTATCTGTACTTGCATACAACTATCTGTACTTACTTACATACAACTATCTGTACTTACATACAACTATACTTACTTACATACAAACATACAACTATCTGTACATTACTTACATACAACTATCTGTACTTACTTACATACAACTATCTGTACTTACTTACATACAACTATCTGTACTTACTTATATACAACTATCTGTACTTACTTACATACAACTATCTGTACTTACTTACATACAACTACCTGTACTTACTTACATACAACTACCTGTACTTACTTACATACAACTATCTGTACTTACATACAACTATCTGTACTTACTTACATACAACTATCTGTACTTACTTACATACAACTATCTGTACTTACTTACATACAACTATCTGTACTTACTTACATACAACTATCTGTACTTACTTACATACAACTATCTGTACTTACTTACATACAACTATCTGTACTTACTTACATACAACTATATGTACTTACTTACTTACATACAACTATCTGTACTTACTTACATACAACTATCTGTACTTACTTACATACAACTATCTGTACTTACTTACATACAACTATCTGTACTTACTTACATACAACTATCTGTACTTACATACAACTATCTGTACTTACTTACATACAACTATCTGTACTTACTTACATACAACTATCTGTACTTACTTACATTATCTGTATACTTACATACAACTATCTGTACTTACTTACATACAACTATCTGTACTTACATACAACTATACTTACATACAACTATCTGTACTTACTTACATACAACTATCTGTACTGTACTACATACAACTATCTGTACTTACATACAACTACCTGTACTTACTTACATACAACTACCTGTACTTACTTACATACAACTATCTGTACTTACTTACATACAACTATCTGTACTTACATACAACTATCTGTACTTACTTACATACAACTATCTGTACTTACATACAACTATCTGTACTTACTTACATACAACTATCTGTACTTACATACAACTATCTGTACTTACATACAACTATCTGTACTTACTTACATACAACTATCTGTACTTACTTACATACAACTATCTGTACTTACTTACATACAACTATCTGTACTTACTTACATACATACAACTATCTGTACTTACTTACATACAACTATCTGTACTTACTTACATACAACTATCTGTACTTACTTACATACTATACAACATACAACTATCTGTACTTACTTACATACAACTATCTATACTTACTTACATACAACTATCTGTACTTACTTACATACAACTATCTGTACTTACTTACATACAACTATCTGTACTTACATACAACTATCTGTACTTACTTACATACAACTATCTGTACTTACTTACATACAACTATCTGTACTTACTTACATACAACTATCTGTACTTACATACAACTATCTGTACTTGCATACAACTATCTGTACTTACTTACATACAACTATCTGTACTTACTTACATACAACTATATGTACTTACTTCAATACAACTATCTGTACTTACTTACATACAACATGGCTACAACACGTCTTTACTGGAATCAACTTTTATGTTTACCGTGTGTTTTTTTTTTTATCCCTTGGGTATATATTCGAGCCTTGTTTCATAAGATCGTCGGACTAAATCAAGGTTCTATTGACATACTGGTATTTTCTCCACTGATATAGAATTGTATTTTAAGTTTAACATCAGATTTGTCTTTAACTAGTGGTATTGCTACTTCAAGTCGAGATATATATCATTCTGTAGGTATTCAATTACCTAATTATTTTATGAATTAAATCTAAATTAAATATCTAACACACATTTTATTTAAGGATATTCATGAACACATATTTCATTGATATGTACATCTGTTTATATAATAAAAATACTGAATACAGCAAATTTGAAACGAGGTGATGGAAGATAATTGAGAAATATGTAAAGCATTTTTAATCATCAAAAAATTGATTCTGAAGATTTTTGTGTTAAATTTCTACAGGTCTGGGATTTCGAGTGTTTGACCTCGCCGTGACCTTTACCCTTTGTTTGGTATACGTCATCAGAGTTGAATTGGATGACTACATAAGCTATCAATGGTAGATAAAACCTTTTAAATGATATTTACAAAGTAGGTGTGTTAACTGACATGATACATATTTAATGAACATTGCATATGACATAATGAACGTAATTGAAATATCTTAATTGAAATGTTACGCATTTACATTTCCCGATGAAAATAGCAGTGGTAAATTAACCATTTCTAGTATCTTTTTTTCCAAAATGATATTCGCATTATAAGTTTAAATGTTTTGACCATCAAGTATCGAATGCTTGATATCCTTGTATTGTACTTTAAACACCATATTCTTACAGTACAATCAGTATTATCTTATAAAATTTAATTCTAACCACAAAGTGGCGGGCTGCACTGTTCAGTTTCGACCATACAGCTACCCAAGGAAACCGATACCATGGCTTTTTCATCGAATGCCATCAATTGGTGAGTCCATCATATTGCCCCTCGAGGTCATATACCCTGTCGACACAATTTATTGAAATGGACTGCCCAATTATATTCTATTTTATGTCTTTCGTATCGGTTCATGTTTAAATCTGTTGAAGTTAGCTAAATATCTTAATTGATTCAGACATTGGTCAATTTAATGCGTATCCTTTAGATTCTGATACTAAATCAAAACATACACTTGTATTTAATACATACGGAGTCGCGACACCAAAACTGGATTATAGTGAATTCAACTTCTTTGGTTTCAGTGAGATTAGGCTAATGTTATTTCAGTCCAGTAAGGAAAATACTGTTATATAGAAACGTCATTGTTTCAGTTCTCCTGAATAAATTTGGTTCTGCTGTGCGATGTCTTTCACATAACTGTTTGCGAGTACCTCATGGGTTTGTTAAATCAGCTAATTTTGACAACGTTAATTAGAAAAAAACATTACATATTATATATAATTTTTGTAATTATTTATAATGTATGATTTTTAAAGGTATCTCCTGTTATGGGTTCGCCGACCTTTCACGATTTGGATCATACAGATGATACTGTCATCGATATGGTTCTTCAAGGGAATACTAACACTGTACATTAGTCCAAAGGTAAACATGATTACTCATCACAGGTTACATATGTCTGAGTCAAATCATCAAAGAGTTCACTTCAGGAGTATACCAATGTAAACTCAACGTTCTTCAAGATTGTTCCTGAATCACATATTTCAGTATCAGTTTAACAGATGGTAGAGTCTGCTTTCTACAGCTTATCAGTGATGTTAGTGTGGAAATCTAGAAACCGAATAAGGAAATTCAAAATTATTGGAATGAAAGGTTCAAACCTTTGTCTGCAAGCTGATAAAGCTGCTCGGAGAAATGTTGGCGAAAAAAGACACTAGGAAAAGTTTATAGTCATTATCACTATTGCGTTATAGATAACTTCTATGCAGAATATGATGTTTGATGTGCTCGATTCTCGTTAGAACAGCGAATAGATTGACACTTTTAATCTTGGTCTAGTTCTGGAACAGTGACGTTATCACTTAATATCTAGATATCGTGGCTGTCGATAAAGCAAAAGAGGAATACCCTACCGGAACCCCTGGTCTTTCTCTTCGTATTTCTTTTCAAGCGTCTCCGTGTTCATTGTTCTGTTGTAGATAGATTTTCCTCGTTGCTTCAATATAGGATTAAAATAATGGTCTTTATGAAACAGTAACTTATTTGTTCTTTTCAGGGAACCCGACTTCGAAGATTTTGGTACGATGGTCTGCTTTTAGATTGGCTATGTACACTGCCTCACCTACTGACGGTATGCTAGTATTAAGCACTTATCCTGTGTTTGTTCCAAGCCAATTATTTGCTAAATCCTTCCACATGAGTATATGGATATATTTCGGTATAGGCGCTCCTGATGTATTAAGCATTATAAGGATAACTTTACCGTCTATTGAGTATCAAATGCAAACCTTTTGATAACTTCAATGATTTCAGTAAACATATCTATCTTCAGTTTGTGCCAGCGCTGAGAAATCTGTTCCTGCCTGGGGGGTTCTTGGCCTGTTGGCTGGTCCGCCGGGTCATTCAAAATCTACTTGTAAGTATACTTAAAGAAGATATGATGTTTCCAAATATGTCACACTGTCATCTATGGGACATTTTGTGAGTTGTAGTGAAAACCGTCGTATCAATGAATGACTTAACATATAAAAATATGATGTTGCCTATAAGATAGAATTTAAGAAACAATACGCCTGTCAATCTTTATTTGCAAATACCTACGTTTATGTCAATAGCTTAAGAGACTTTCTAATAAAAACTAAGTAATATTGTATTTACAGAACGACCTCCACCTTACAAAACAACGATGTCAGGCAACGTCTGTGACCTTCAAACATGAACTGACGCTGCTTCTAATCACAATGTCATGTTTGATATTTACCACGTGAGTAATAATTTCTTCATAAATACATAACTTATAATAATGGTCATCTACTAATTACTTACTTGAATTGGCCAAGATTTATATTATATTTACGAGTATAAACGATGAAACAGAAGACGTTAACTCTCTCAGAACACTTGGTCTTATTGTTTTTGTAATTTTTGCAATGAGTCTCAGTGTTAATCCTTCCTTTTTCATTTTTTCCAAGTTTGGTTAATTTTGAGTTTGGATTATGCATCTGTTGTAATGATGGTATTGTCTTAATGTGTCTGATAGAAATAAATAATTTGATTCAACGACCCTCATGTACACACCTAAAATTATATTATTCATTTATTCAAGGCTCTCAAGGATATCGTATTGTATATACATGTGTTTATGTGTTACACGTTACGTAGGATAAAATGCTAAAGAGTAGTTTGTGAATTCTAGCATTTTATGCATTAAAATTCAGTATACCACAACATATTTTTATTCATTTAACACTGTTTCAGCTTACTAACGGGTTCGTTTGATATAAAGGTAAACCTTGTTTGACAAATCGTCCGGACGTTGTAAATAGTAAATTTGATATACATTTAAGATTTTCTTCCTGCACAGTTTACATATAAACCAAACATAAATGAACATCTCTTCGAGGTCTGAAAATAATGGCTATGATCACTTTCTTACAATCCCGTACAGAATGTGTGGTATACAGCACATACAGAGGGGAAGTAGTGGGGCAGAACTGACCATGTTCGAATCGTTCTATTTTGTGATCGTGACCTTCAGCACTGTTGGGTACGGTGATATATCTCCGGACACCTGGCTCGGACAGCTCTTTATGACGTGCATGATCGGTATAGCATTCGCCTTCATACCAAGACAGGTAAATCTATATCAAGCTAGAATATGACACAAATGTTGGGTACATTACGGAGTACAAGTTTGGTTCGAACTTATTTTCTTTTTATATTTGTCTTAAAAGTTTATTTGTGTTGAAGGCAACAATTCAGTAGACTTTATTTCCTTATTTTTAAGTTAATAGCTATATCATTCAGATTTCTTACTCAAAATCACAAACGAAACATTTATATTATAATTGATCTAAGGGTTCCTCACACAGAATTGCCTGTTCCTTAGCCTGTTTGATGATCTGCTAGGTAAGTGTTATGTTATATATAACACTATTCTCAAAGAAAACAAATTCAATTAACTATACCGGTTTTGTTATAAAAATGATTTACACTTCAAAGTTACGTAATTTACTAACTTTTTAGAACGTCAATTATGCTTTAGGTGGAGGGATTTATGTCAGCCTTTAAAGATGTACGTAAAACAGGTGGGGAGTATAGTCAGTCCAATGCACGTGGGAAGCATCACGTGGTCTTATGTACCACGAGCATATCAGCGGAATCTATGCTGTATTTCCTAATAGAGTTTTATGCTCATCCACAACTCGAGGTAGGTATGGGATCATTCTTCCAGTACAGAAACCTTGTCATATCTTTTGTTTATAACTTTTATGTTGGACTAGCTTGTTGCAACATAGCTATAGAATGACATATTCAAGGTTATTGTACATTAAAACAATTTCTGGTTAAGCCCCATTATCTGAATTGTACGAAACCATGTTCAAACTTTAACAAAACGGTATGGTGATATTACCTGCCGCTGTAAAATGGCTTAATGGGACGCATCGTCAGAGGTATTATGCGTGACCAATAACAGTTGTTGCATTCATTAGTTGAAAATTAATATTTTGTTGTTATCTATTTATTTGTTGTGTGTGCTTTTTAAAGTTGTTTTGTTATCAATATGTGCATGTCCAGTTCTTCATATTGACCCACTTTCCAAATATACGCTTAGTATTTATTAAGTAACCTGGGACAACAGTGACCTTATCCGATGGTTTTTTGTTCGTCGTCTTTCGTAAAATGTCAAGCAGATTAGGACCTGGAGGAAAATCGTATCCGACTGTACAGGAACTGTCGGCGAATATAGATACAACTTGCTGAAAAAACCCTTACCTCGGGAACAAGAGGGGTTGTAGATAAAAGATTAATGCGTTCAAATGCGTTTTTGCAGTCTAGAAACTGTATGCAAGATTTTAATTATCACCAGTCTATGGTAGAATCAGAGTTTTAGCCAGATAAGGTTTCTGTCCTCTAAAGACATGAAAACGACTTTGGTTAGAGTTATAAGTCTTCTGCTCGCTTCTGCCTCTAAATGTAAACTTAATTAGGTACGGAATACCCAATAGTTTTAGAAGAAGTGCCATTACAGACCTCTGAGAAGTTAACGCTCTTTCGAAATTCCCTGTTATTGATTAAATTGAAAAATGAAATTGATATTCATGAATGAGCAATCATTAAGATCGATGATTCGAAGAAATAACCTGAATGTATTTGTAAAATGTTTAAAGTTCTTTCCGATTTTTCATAAGAAAAATCATTCGTGTAAATCGGGATGTCATTTTTCTTATACATTGTGCAGAAGTTTAAGGGAATATTGACGGAAAGTTGTAAGAAAAGAAACAAGTCTTATCTTATATTTCATTAAAGACTACATTGCTGAATGTAAAAATACTTTTCTGACTTTCCCCAATCTAGGATCACACAGTGGTTCTCTTAAGTACAGAACAAAGAGAGGCCAGCTTACGTATACTCCTGAAGGATCCGAAGTGGGCCTATCGAGTTATATACATGCAAGGGTCTGCTCTCAACGACGTCGATCTCGAAAGATGCAGGTTGGTCTATCGGAAGCTAGTTTTGTGTAAAGGAAATTATTCTAAGCAATAAATATCACATACCATGTCGATGATTCAAGTCATTTCAGAAGTTCAAACTTGTCCTAAAATCGTTCCAATGAATAGTTGTCATCTTTTGTACCTACTGTCATGGACGAAATTTCAAAACGGTACTGTTATCTTTTATTTTCGTTAGTTGACCTTCAGCGTCATTTCGCGTGATTGCATTATGTTGATATTTTGGCTTCTTCATTGTAATGTCATCAGCAAAGAGTCTTTTATAAAAGTAAGTGGCGTTGTTGATAAGTAGATAAAACCTGATCTTGTTTTTCTTGTACATTTTCAAAGATCTTCATGCGCATTAGTTTCAATTGAAAGCACGTCCACAGTTTCCCATCGCTGATCATAAAAAATCATTTGGATACTTCAGTATTGCTTAATTCTGGGTACATGAGTATTTCTATCTCGGTTCTTTTCTCAGTAGGTATACACATATTTTAGCGAAAAAGACCGGATTAACGCTAAAACCACTTGCTGAAATATATGATGTTATTCACTTGGTTTGAGAAAGGTACTTAGACCTTTTCTGATATATTTTTCTTTCAAAATCCAGAATTTCCGCTCTCGTCCGCCATTTTCGTTCTGATTACTCCCACAATTGTTTAACTTGTACTTGCAAATCATGGTCTAATTACTGTTTCAGAATGGCCGACGCTGATGCCTGCTTCATACTTCTGCCCGCAGTATCCAACAACAACAATGAAACTGTAAACAGATTCAGCAATACAACAATACTATAATTACTACAGATATTGAGACCGGTTTTTATTACTTTGTCAATATCACTGGTATCACTATCTCCTAAAGGCCACTGCTAAATGTTAAATCACCTTATATATTGACGAAAAGCTACTAAAAGATGAACAAAAGGGACTGTCATAATGATCTATTATCAATTCTCCAATTTTGAATTTCTTCTATACAATTATTACTATATATAGATAACAGATGATAAATTGTAAACTTATTCTATGTAACATTAAAACGTATACAATTTTAATAAAAAAATAATCATAACCTAACATTTGTAGGTATGTTTTGAAAATAACATATAGATTGCTTTATAAAAGTAGGGGACTTTCAGTTAAATACTGTAAAAAGGAGTCGGGAATGCCACTGAATATCGAAGTATTGAGATAAGGAATTAAATATTATCAGGTCTGAATTGTTTTATTTATAAGTATGATTTGATTTAAACACTATTTGTTTTAGAAATAAGAAATCAAGCATGCTGATATGCTGCGAGTGATATTTGGAACACTAGAATAATTTCTTTTATCTTAAAACCAGAAATTGCCACACATTATTTTATTTTCTTTTCCCGTCTCGAGTCGAAGGAGACTTAATAATCTCATATTACTTTTAACTTGTATACTTATAACTTACAAACAACCATATTACATAATGTATATAATTGGATGAGCGTTTTGTGTCCTAGGATCAGCTGACCCTCATGTATTACTGGGCAGTCAAAGACTTTGCTCCACACTGTCGGCAGTACATAAAGATCTACAAACAGGAGAGCAAACTACACATATATAATGAAGGTGAGACACCTAAATATAAATAGGTAAACTAATTATGTGAATTGTAAATTTACAAATTTTGAAATTTCATTTTGTCAGTGGATGTTTTCATATCTATCGTTTATTTATTTATATTCATTAGAGCAAATCATTTTATAAATAATTCTCATATTTGCTGGTATGATGTCACTGGGATTTATCTATTTTTACTACCGTTCTGTCTACAATGACTGTTATGACGATTCTTAGTTAGTATTTACTCAATTTCTGGTTACTTATTGTTGGTCTAGGCTTTGACTCATCACTAAAGCTACACGTCATAGATCCATGGAGGTACATAAGTGAATGAAATCCTTTAGAACAAATTTAGAACTAGATGCAATAGAGGAAAATAAAATATTAAAACAACAGCTATTTCGTTCTTCACAACAAATGGCAAATGTCTTTTACTAACATAAACTTGCTTAACATAGATTAATACATGAAACATATTAGGTGCTTTATTGATATTATTATTTTAGGTAAATACAGAGAAAAACTAAAAGAACACACACATTAATTGTATATATAAATAATGTTCACGACCAATGAATAACATGCTTGATGTCGACATTTATTTTTGAAGATCACGTGGTGTGTGGAGATGAACTCAAGTTCTCTATTCTAGCCAACAACTGTCTCCATCCCGGGTTGTCGTCCTTCATCACCCTCCTGGTGCATTCTTCCACTGTCGAGTAAGTAGGATATTACAATCACAATATAGTGACAAGTCAGAATCGTATTCCTCGTTTGGTGTTTGTTTCGTTGAAAATCTGTAATTGTCAAGGTCAATATTTAAAACAACGTTTTCCAATGTAACTTTTCATTTCTCTGAGTGTATTTCGTTCCAAGTATTGTGAAACACATTCTAAATTATTATATTAATGATCACTTAATTTACAAGTGCAGTATTTCCGCATTTTTGTTTGTCACCAAACCTTGGTATATTGACATATAATTGTCTATTTTGATTTATTTCACTTCATCAGGTAAGTTCTTCCATGATTGTTGTTTATTTATTTAAATTACGTAGTGATATGTATGTAGGCTAGTGTATCATGTTTGCAACACTTGAATGGCTAAAACAGATATTGCTAATATTAAGCCCCGATTGGAACCAATCTGGTTCCCAATTTTAATCAGACTTCCGGAGCGCGTGGAACATGAATATATTTGTAATTAAGGTAATACAACTGAAAATAATAGTTGTACAAATTGATTATTAATATTTTGTTCTTGATAAAGAGTATCATCCCTAGGGACAGAGCCATGGCAACAACTGTACGGACGACATTCCAGCCACGCCCTCTTTCACATACAGCTGAATCAGAGTAAAATGTTCCAACGGTATAGAGGCTGGAGCTTCACCCTTGCTTCAGCCGACGCTCATAAAAGGTAACATACGATCGGGAATACCCGATAGTAATATTTAAAGCTAAAGAAGCGAATAGCGAATGATGAATAAAAAGTAACATGGTTTGAGGTCCGCAATGAATAGATAAATTCCACGGCAAAGAAATGTTGTTGTTATACGGGTTTTCATTTGCAATATATGTTTATACAATATACAATAATACAAAAAAAATCAAGAAATTGTTGTTTCTTCATCACTTGCAATAAAATAATATTTCATTTATCTTTACATTATTTTCAAATAAGCACTATCTGTTTGAGCTATTTAGCGAAAGTAATTTATTATATGTGCTCGTTAAGATGGGAGAATATTAAACTAGCCTTCTGACCTAATACTACCATGATATTTATGATAACATTAAATTAAGATATGGAGTGGGCTTAATAGCGGTTCAGGACCGCACAAGACATGATTCCCGGTTACACCTTAATCCTGGTGATGGATACAAACTGCGGGACTACGACTGTTTATTTTACATGGCTGACGTACCTGAAGAGCGAGGGGATGTTCTACCATCACCTTGGTCTGTTTCTACTAGAGAGTACGTCGATAACGGTATATAGAATTAGTGTTTCAAAATTTTAAAATTCAATTTTGATCCGAGTTTTTTTAGGGTAAAAACTACAAAAGCGAACAGTAATGCGGTAGTTTTAGGTTGTTTTGTTGTCTACATAAAGGTTGAATAAATTATTCCTTAATTTGGCGAATTTAAAAACATCAATGCACGTGTTGTCCAATAGTTCTTTTAGATTTATTCCATAATGACGATATATATCTTACAATAGCGTTTTACCAACTCTCTTCGCAAACTCCTATCAAGTATACATTTTATTCTGATACTGAGGATTTGACTTGGGTATATGCAACAAGTCAGTTATTGTTTTCATCTGTGTACGCATTAAAGTATAATTACAATATTATCTTCTTCTGTAGATCAATTGCAGGCCCTGAATAATAACTCACAGCAACAGGGGATTGATAGTCCGTACAACAATCGAGAGCCTGGAATTGTGTCTTCACCTTGGGAAGTAGGGTTACAGCAGTGCTGCATACAAGACGGGATAAACAGCTCGCCATCAGAGGAAAGGTCGAGAAATTGTGACAATGTAGTTAAATGTGTAGATGGGACATTTTACATCACTCTTTGCCCATTCTTCATTAAATCACTAGACGACACTTGCATAGTGCAAAGAGGAAGTTTGCCTATATATTACTGTGATTAATTAATAACTCATATACAAAAACAAAAATATGAAGGGAAACAAATTGGCATAAATAAAGAAATGTTATTTTGATCAAAGGAAGATTTGATTAGACAATTTTCTTCGTCATGTATCATTGCATTATAATTGACATATATTTTTATTGCAACTTTTCATTTTGTCCATTTTTAACTTCAGCTCTGTCATTGGTCCGCCGCCGTCTTCATCGAGCACCATTAACCATTCTACTAGGTGTCACGTGATGAAGACTAGGCGCCCGGATTGTTGTTTACAATGGGGAAAGGTAAACGTTGCCAGCTACAATAGCGGTTACATTGAAGGGTTTCATATCCATTACATTCAAATCAAAAGAAAGATATTAAAAACTTACACATGAATAAAATAAACACAAAATTCACAAATCAATAAAAAATATGAATATACAAAGGACCAAGCAGTCAGTTTGACAAATAGTAGGTATTCAGGGAATAGGGGTTCGATAAGAGGTGTTTTTCTCATCACAAAGATCAAGTACAATTTAACTCATACCCATGTAAAATACTAGCAGAACTTCTCTTGAGCTCGATCAGTTGAGCGTCAGATTAGTAAGCCAGAGGTTCTGGGGGTATTGAAATAGAGCATGGCCTCTGTTACATGTGTACAACTTAAGTTATATTAACTTTGGGACTGAACATCCTAAATAATTAATAAACTTAATTAATACAGCCGTTTCGTCCAGTTAGGATCCGCTATTACAGCTAAGGTAGGTAAGATGGAAATAAAGTCAAATTTAATGATAATGTAGTTAATATATGATGATGTTTACAGGATTGCGACCATTGTGCTTACAAAAACGCACGTCACAACCTTTACGGGAATCAGCTGATTATCTTAGCGGCTGAAGAATCAAGTGCAGGGATGATGAACTTCTTCGTCCCTCTTCGGTCACATATCATTGCAAAGGATGAGATCAAACCTATCGTCGTCCTCCTTGGAAATCAGTAAGTAAACTCATAATAGTTAAGTTTTAAGATTCACTTTTTGAATTGTTTGATAACTATCAACAAACAAAGTACTAAATTAGAAAGTAATATTATCTATTGGCAGACGTGTTCATTGATTGAGTCTGCACGAGTTGTCGTAACTTCCAAAAAATATTCACCATATTGTTTTGCTGTAGAGTAAATTTCCTTGTAATAGATTTTTTGTTCTGTTTTGGAAAAATGCAGTTTAATTTTGCTGAGTTTTTCAGTCCTTTTTGCTCGGGCAGATTACTCTTTCGTGCTATCAAGACAATAAGCCTGGTGAAATGTGTGTTTTCTCTTGCAGACCAAATGATGTATTCCTTGAAACAATAGCATATTATCCTCTTATATTCTGGATTCAGGGAAGTATATCAAGGTCAGTATCTAAAACATTTTAAAAAGTGTCAGCGTGTCTACCAAATTCTTAATTATCAATATATTTACAAAATATTGTTATCTTCCTCATAGAAATCTATTTTTAAGTTAATGATGAATCTAGATCACCACACTGGAAATATTTAAAACAATCACAAAACACGATTTTACGCAGTATAACACTGACAATCGTGGAAATAAATTCACCGCTAAAGTATAGACATTTACAGTATATAACTAAACCAGAAACAACTCATCATTGATGTAATTATCAACGATGTATGTATATACATATTTGTCAAACCTTAAGATCTATAATAAAACCTCACGTTACAGCATCGACGACCTTATCAAATCAGGAATACACAGAGCGGCACACCTCGTGGTACCTAGCATGCAGTTCTCCTCTGTTACTGATTCGGACGTACTAGTGGCCGTCCGGACAATACAAAGGTAAGAAAACTTCATGGACTGTGATACTCCATTGGACGTCGGGCATTACAAAGGTAAGAAAACACGACGAACTCGGATACTTTAGTGGACGTCCGGACAATACAAAGGTAACAAATCATGACGGACTCTGATACTATACGGACGGACAATACAAAGGTAAGAAAACTTCTTGGACTGTGATACTTCAATGGACGTCGGACAATACAAAAGTAAGAAAACACGACGGACTCGGATACTTTAGTGGACGTCCGGACAATACAAAGGTAAGAAAACACGACGGACTCGGATACTTTAGTGGACGTCCGGACAATACAAATGTTTGAAAACATGACGGACTGTGATACTCTGGTGTCCGGATGGACAATACAAAGGTAAGAAAACATGACGGACTCTGATACTCTAGTGGACGTACGGACAATATAAAGGTAAGAAAACTTGATTGACCAGGATAATCTAATGGCCCTCCCTGACAACATACGGGAAAGAAAACATAACGGTCTCGGAATACACTAGTGACTGTCCAGGTAGTGTTTAGGTCGATATGAATAAGGTTATTTTCATTTCACTATCACGTCGGATTATTACGGTAGAAATGTTTATGTGTAAATGGTCTGGTAAACAGCGATGCCTTTATAAGACATTGTCATTGATGATGTATGGCTCATGTTTATCATTCCCAGGTATTCATAACTTTTTCGATTTTTAAACTCCTGTGATCATCAATCTGATGTTGCTCAGTCACTATCCCACATGGCAGCAGCCATCTTGTACAATAAAAAATAGTGTTTTATCTTTTACGAAGTTGATGCAATGAACGATAACTCTGGTAGAGATTGTAGATACGTAAGAGTAATAACCGCCCTGACAAAAAAAAAAAAAAAAAATACAGAATATGATACAAGGGATATAAGCTTCAGCAAATCTACAATCAATTAAAACTCTGTTAATATGAAGACTTTGTGCTGAAAAATAGTTCTTAAATGATGCTCACATCTTTCTATATTTCTGTGTCTATATATTGATAAATGTGATGTTTTATTGATTTTTCCTAGATCGAATCCTTCTTTCCTTGTCTAATGACCATATTCACCAGATAATAAACAAGCGCATTCATTTTTATCATTATATATTTCCAGGTTGTTTCCATTCACCAACGTTATAACCGAACTATCACAGGCTTCAAACATTCGGTTTATCAACAGTCGTAATTCGGATACACAAACTCTTCCGGTGGCCAAACTGGAAAGGGTAAATACTGTTTTTCATTGGCTTAATTATGTAATTGTTTGCATTTGCAGGATTGATATGTTGTGAGTACCTCGATCGAAACTGATTCATGTTAATTTTATTCTCTTGTTTACAATTGTTTCATTGTTATTATATCCTACTGCCACCATGTATATGTAATGTGTGTAAATTTTAATATGTTTGGAAAAGGGCTTTATATCAGTTGTAAAACCTGTCCCCAATCCTATTGCCACTTATGTGCAATAAATTATGTTTTAATAAAGAAAGTTATTATATTCTGAAAATAACAGTATAGAGGTAAATCCGTCTAACTGTAAATTGTATATATGACGTCACATTATTGTATTGATATTTAATTGATATTCCGTGTTTTATTGACAGCCGTTATGGATATATCAAATTATTAATAGTAATATACGGTATTTTTTTGGTATTGTTTTTGTTCATAAAACAGAAATTTAATTTCTCTGTCGACAAAAAGAAGTTGTATAAAAAGACAACAAAGTGGATATCGAAATGTTAAGAGAATCTGAATTCAAACTCAAAACCAGTGAAGTTATAAGCAACAGGATGATTGATACAAATAGCCCAAAACATCATGACCTGTTTGTTTACCATTCATTGCAGAGGCTTAAAGAAAAGATGAGTTCAACGCTTCCCAATCTTTTCCATCAACATTTCGCCGCGGGAAAGGTGTTTAGTGTTTCCCTGTTAGACAGTATGCTGTATCAGGTAAACATATTACAAATGTTGGAGACAGAAAACTATATAGATATGTAATGATCTACAGTGGTATAGATCATCAGCACAACGTTTATATCAATATAACATAAGTGTACAATAAATAAATGCATACAAACGTAGAGATTCAATCGTTAGCACTTCATTGATGTTGAATATTATACTTTTCATTTCATTTGTTGGAATTAAAAAGAAAAAAAAAGAAAAAATAAAGACAAAGAAGAGAGAAACTGAAAGGGAACATGCCATCTGTGTACATTTACTTAAGTAATAATGGCCCATGTTTTTATATTTGCACAACACTCTAAGTATTTAACACGCTTTATTTACTCTGCTCATTCAATTCGTGTGTGTGTTGTATTTCAGACATTTGTGAAGCGCTACCTCATCAATTTTGTACGTCTGCTTATTGGAATCGAGACAGAAAACAATGCAGGGTATTTGTCTAGTGTAAGTGATGCTGTTATTCTGATAAATTAATTTCAAGAGCTTGTTGTCATTTGATTTATTTTCATTTGTTGTGTCTTCTTAACACTTAAACGACTCGATTAAAAAGTAGTAAGATATGATGTCGGTAAGTTGTTATAATCTTATGGTCGCAATTGACAGCAATATGTTACACATATGATCTGTGCTTAAATCTGACTGGCCATTAAATCTACAATAAACAGATTGATTTGTTAAAGTTAATCATATAAGCTGTTTAACAATTCTTTACTCGATGTAACAGATTCGAGTAAATGGGACAGCCTCCTCGACATACACCACGTTCGGGGAACTGTACTACGGTCTGGCGTCTTCCTCAGGAAACATCCCATTGGCGATTTATAGGACAGAAAAACCTCTGGTAAAATCAAGTTTGAATAATATGCATGTTTTGATAGAAAACATTTGTAAAACCTCGCTTTAAAGAATAACAGGTACTAATTTATAAATTGATATTTCAGATCTTCTTAAATCGTTTCTGGTATTATATTAAACAGAAGACAGCAGAGCCAAAATTTAAGACGAATACACGCCGTACAAATGACTATGTGCATGGTAGACTCAAGAGTTTAGGCATGGATACGGATGCATACGGTAAGTGGTCACTAAACGTTAAATCGTATCAAAATTGTCCATGACAGTTTAGATGTTCGGACAGTTATATCTAATAATGTCATATGTGTTGCGATGTGCTTATTGCGTATTGAAATGTGTTCTTAAATGGAGCAAAATCGTGGCCTTTTATTATTGTTGAATGAGAAGACCAGTATTAGTAATCGTCTCCATTTTACATTTCAAGTTTTAGGCTTGGACCAAGAACGTGACACAGACATATCGTACGTCATCCCGAACCCTACCCCAGAGACCAAACTACTGGACGGAGATGTCGTGTAGGTATTCGTTGTGACGTCGGACTAAGGAATCATTTCCATTTTCTTCCATTTTTCTTAGTTTGATCATCACTAATATTCTTTTATAGCTACACCTTAAGAAAGTCAATGGTCATTAATTGCTTATTATACATAAATCACGTTTGAATTCACGTGTTGATATTCGATGCAAGTTGTTCAATATTTTTCATCATATTATCAAATTAAATGACAAAGGTAACATAATAAAGTAATGCACTTACGTGTTACGTCCCCATCAGGGGTATCTTTTTTTCTTCCCAAAAGCACGTGGCATATTGATGCCCAGTTACTGCTAGAGTGTATTTAGGTCACCTACATTACACTTCTATAAATGGCTCGCGCTTTATCAAGATTCTTGAGAAAACGTGTTTGTGTCAAATAAGAAATAAATTAAGTTTCAGTATTGTTATTTGTGTCAGTATTTTGAAAATAAACGTAAACACACACAAAAAAAGGTAATGGCTGATGTCAAGGAAGAATGATGGCGAGTTATCATTCGCCAAGTACCGGCGTGTTCATTAGACTCATGTTCATGTTCAGTGATAAATGATGGTAATTTGGGTATAAAATTTGGCACATTTCCACCCCCGAAGCGCTGAAGTTATTCTCACCGCTGATAGATGGCATGCAAAACAGTCTATAGATGTTTCCTACGTTGGTGTTGTCAGGGATACCGCCACATTATTATCCGACGTCAAACTTTGACCCTAATCGAGAGGTCAACTAAATATAGACCGTGAGCCGTTTACAGAGCCTTATTGTGACTGGAAAGGAACGATAACTCTGATAGAGATTGACAGACGTCATGGTGATAATTTTGCATACCAGTATTTTTGTTTTTAAATTTTCAATGTAGTGGACAATAAAATGCAGCAATTTGGTGTAGAATGTAATCGAGGAAATGCAACATTATTTATATAGAACTATAACCACTTAAGATTTAACACTTACGTTTACTCACTTAGGTATGTTCTGTTGCCTGGCAACTTCATTGGCCATCCTCCGCCGACACTGACAGCTGATGTGACCAGAACTTCGGCGTCTCATGGAGTCCATGTCTGAATATCTGAGGTCATTTGTCTCAATAAAAAAAAGTAGGATATATGAAATGGACAAGAAACCCTGTTCCTTGTGCTATCTATCTCCACCAAGGACAATTCAGGACATCACATACTGGAATGGTTATAATGTTCAAATCTATGAGAACAATTGTTGCTGTACTTTGTTAATCTTTCTCGTCTAAAGCTGGTGTATCAGTCCCCATTTCAGCATAACAATAAATAAAAGTAATACATTTGTCCTTGGCTGGGCATCCACAAAACACTGGATAACATCTTATGAATATTTAAGAAAATAATTTTGGTATCGGTAAAATGCTCAATGTAAATTGAAACATCTGTATAATGCTGATGAATTTGTTATCTTGCTCTAAAGTAGATACGTGTTAATCTGTATTGACATTTACTATACCGCCGAGTGCCTTTTGTGCAGCTGTTGTTTTAAATGAAACCACGTGATGCCAAATAAGATAAATAATATTTTCTGCGGGATTGATATACCAATTTATATGATTTTACAGTGTAACTACCCTAAAGGCTGTATGAGTGTTTTTTCTTTACATATCTTTAAAGTTTATATCTGGAAATTTGATTATTTGTGTATTAATGTATATTCTAGAGAGGAATGGTAATAACATTTTGATGTACTTTGTAAATTTTACGCTGAGGGCTACAAATTTAAATAATCAGAAGAGATACTGATGTATCACAAATATTATGGTTATATATGCCCATGTCACGAGATAAAGGTTCTTCCAAACTCGAAAGTTGAAAGGTAATAGAAAAAATGGGTGGTATATGCGCAGTATTAACTCTCTTATTCAGATTGCTTAATCAAAAATATACGAATTCAGTTACACTTGCTTGTATTCCAGTGCCACCATAAGTGATATTCATTTGCATGGAATTTTGAAAGTGAAATTTTATTTACTCATTAAACGTCTCTGTTAAAATGCATTTATTCATCCACCTATAAGGTGGTTGTAGTAACACTTTTGAACAAATATATAAAATGACATTGTTTAGAAATTAACGAATTACATATGATATATTTGTAGTAGGAGTATGTGTCAACACTTATTGTAATAAGTTACTTAATGTGATAATCTATTACATTAAGGTTAATCTTTTTGTAAGAAGTTGAAATTTCTACCCACAATGCTTTCCGAGTTATCTCCCCTTATACATCAATGTTTGTAAACATCTGTTAATAAACATAATAAGAGGTAGTTACGTTCGGTCTCTTTTTAACATCTCGCTATTTCTATGTTGTCATCGTGTACGAAATATAATTATAACATTGAGAAATATATAGGAACTTTATTGTTTATTTTAAGAGAATCACGTGACACTTATAATTTCTATCATTTTTCCTTATTGATATTGCCGACACAAAGAAAGTACGTTTCAAGCTTCGTTTTATTTTTTTTAATGTTGTTCACGCGAACGGAGGAGATCCTAATTTGTGAAATGAATCATATACATTAACATATTGATTTAATATCAGATAACGTAAACATCCCTACATAAATCGCCTGAAGCAAATATTAGTCACGTTATTATCTTCAGCTTAGTATAACTTCTCCTAAGAATCGGTTCGTAATTATTCTGAAATTCTTTTTTTAAGGAAATGTATTCCAACTGGATAATATATGCTTTCCTTCACATTATGTAAGAGATAAGACAAAAATTAACTCTTCATTAATCAATTTTCAAACTTTTTTAGATTTTTTTTTATAGAACCTCTTATCACAGATGTCTATATACTGAATAAAATTCATCTCATAACAGTGTAAACAATTCATACTTGGTTATTTTTTTTTTTAATAATTTTGACGGGTTATTCAGAGAGCACTTAGATTTACCAAAATTGATTTCACAGCGAATACAATCCAAGATCGTGTACATGGGGAGTAGTGGGGTAAACGGATTAAGGGTTTAGGTGATCACATGTGATGTCCTGAGGTGTATATAGATGTACCTACCCGCAATAATTCAGCCGAACCGGAACCTTTGGGTGAAGATCAGAGGGGCGTAGCTAGATGTTCCCTAGTTTGTATTGCTCAGGGAGCTGAGAAACGGACTGGTCTGAAATGACACAGTTGTGTCCGTGGACAAAACACTTTAATTACTTTGGACTACACGCAACGATGTTCCAGTATCTGAATAAGGGAGGTAACCAACAGTCATTAAAAGGAGACCCCGCCTTCAAATGACCATGGTCATTCTCGGGGCTGTATCGACAAACTCATGAAACAAACAAACATGAGACATGTACATGTCATTCAATATTTATTAATTATGTTTGTGTTTACAGAACTCAGGAATTAAGTAATTTTCTTTTTAGTTTTTTTATTGTCTTTATTACACCCGCGAAATGAGAAACCAATATTTCAACAGTACAAACCGTTCTTACTGAAAATTGATTTCTTTTAGCAATAAGACTTTTCAATATCTTTAAAATTTATATTGACAATATTTTTTTTATCTGAATAAGAATTCATGGTATAATTCCCCATTGGAAATAGGAAATAATGACATTTACAAGTTCAGAAAAATCAATTCTGATTTGTATATAGACTTCTGCCTCCGTTAATTTTGGAGATAAAGACGATCGATCATAGTCAGAGAAGCAATACAATCGCGTGTTCGCAGATGTATGAAATTTTAATCTGTCCTCTTCTAAATTTAGAAATTCATAACGAACAGAAAGGCAATTCCGATATTTGCTCTGAAGAAATCTTCTTGTTTTTGTTAATTTTACGTTCGAATATAGAGATGAAAAGTAACAGGCAGCTGCAAGGCTTAATTTTTTTTTCATGTTGGAACCGGTATTATATTTGAAGTCTATTTATCTTTACAAACATCAACTTTGGAACACAATAAACAAATGTTTATTGCATTTTTGCCTATCGGTGAAAACTTGCTGAGGGGCTTAAAGACGTTTTAACATAGCGAACCAATATTTGTAATATGGCCCAGGGGATAAGCATATGCCGACAACACAGTGTTTAAGTCAAAAATGACTTCGAAAATGGAGTGCCTTTCAAAGCAGTTATCTGAATCAATATGATAAAAAAATAAACTCGCCCAATTTTCTTTAAAGTAACCAGACCTGATATGGAAGCTTCAGACAGTATCTTATATAAATTATGTGTTCCTGTGGGTCTGTGGATGATATAAGCCTTCCAATGATATCGTTTGAACTTGTCAGTAGTGTTTAATGGTTTAATCTTCACTGATGATATATACAATATGCGGGTTTTTACTTCAAAGCCTGCAGTATATCGTCCTGACAACAGACCATTTTTTTCACAGCTTGTACTAAATATCAAATATGCGTCGCGTCCGTTGATCAATACTTTCTTACTCTGTAAGGGTTAGTTATTATAATTGTGCTGACAATATCTCTTTGCTCAGGATAACTAAGAAATTCTTTATTTTTATATATAAATTGATGGCATTTGGGATTAAATAGATTAGACGATACACAATATGTACGGTGAGAATGGTTCATTCTACATAATACTGAATCACCTGTGTTCATTTCCCTTAATTTCCTTCTGTTTATTGAAGCATTTATTTATCTATCTAATCATTTTTGTCTCGTCAATGTGTTTTAAAAGAATTTAATATGGAATTGTGTTTGTAGTTCTTGTTTTTGTAGAACTGTTTTCTGTTTGGCGTCGCAATCGGCATATAGATATATCTCGCAGCACTCATGATCACATCACACTATAACGAATCATCGAACGCCACAAGGCGGAGTGCGTATTGGTAAAGAATTTACCAGACCGATGTCGATTTCTAAATCATTCAAAAGAAATAACATCTCGCAGAGTCTAATCCAGACGAAAATGCATATTTCTGAAATCTATTTTGCGATAGTATACTATCTAATTTCAGTTTTTTGAAAGTGAAATATAAAAAAACATCAACCCAATAAAATGTTGATCTCGCCTGCAGTATAAGAAATGCTACATAGTCATTAGATCTAACATCATTTTCCCTGTTACAGTGATTATATTAACCTTTTTATAGATCGACCAGAATAAAGCGTTCTATAGGCAGCCTTAAACTGCCTTTCTCAGTTCAGATATATATAAAACGACCGCCGGATTACTTATTGTGAGATAACTAACAAATACATTGTGCGGTAGAATACTGCAGAGAACAGCCGTTTTAAAATGGCACTGGTTTTGCAAGTGAAGTCAACGTCATGTAACTTCAATATGATTTCAAAGATTACGCTACTGTTTCCCGCAATTTTTGCCAGAGTTTTATTTTTAGATATTTAATCAATAGGACATTGATTTCTGGGTAATATCATATACATTGCACTCGTATGGAAAATAACACGATGTTTTCATTAGAACTTCGTACTTATGAGAAATATTGGCATTCTATCATATTCGTGAAATGATACATTTCATTGGAAAGTATTAAATAATCTCTATAGACAAGATAAAAATCGTTCATTTTGGTCACGGATACAAGTTTTATAGAAGTTTAATTAACTACACCTGTATTACGGCTAATGTTTATTAGTGAAATTTATTCGAGAGAAGACTAAAGGATCTATTAACAATATATTTTTCATGAGTTTAAGGGCATGCTTTTTCACCAGATTGTTGCCATTCACAAAGGATGAATCAGTAACTTTCATTTGGCTGAGCAGTTTTTAGAGACCGTGACATCGGAATTCTTGTCAAATCCATTAATGAAGATTATGAAGGTAACGATCTCATTGAGAAATATTACATCTCTCTGTGCGATATCGGGCTGGTCATGTTGTATGCCCTTTAGTGTGCACGGTAGTTTCGTTGTTGTACACTTTGTTCTCATTTGGGAAACGTTACATTACTTACTTGGATTCACCAATTATTGCATTTGGATGTCGTCGATGAAGCAAAAGACGCTTACTCTTCTGGAACATGTTTTTGAATTATCCTTGTACTTGTTCACGAGTCTGCATGTAAATTTTTCTTTTGCTTTTCTATATATTGTTTGAATTTCGATTCCATTTAAAACTGATATTTCCGTAGTAAAAGTATTTGACAAATAACAAGTCAGTCGATTTTTCAGCAAGTTTATTTAATGATAATAACAACATTACAACAATTCTAGCGATTGTTATAAACAGCGCCTGGCTGATACATATGTGACAGCAGTATTGGTAATAACGATGTGGATGGCCAACCGTGCACAACAAATACACTTTGCTTATTTACAGAATGATATCAACTATTTATTTTGGCATACATGGATTTACAAATTAGGATTTAGTGTCAGGAAAAGTGCTGAAGAATTCATAGTTCGTTAGATCGCCCATGGGTAGACAACTCAGAACATCAATTACCATGTTAATCTTAAGATTTTATTATAAAAAATTACATGTATCACCTTATGTTAAGTGTTATTCAATGTACATGTATTACCTGAGTGTACAGTATACGCAGTCATCTACATATACAAGCACTTGGATTTCTGTTTCAGACATTCTGATATTATCTGTGAACATACAGATGACGCACGCCTCTGAGCAGATGGCGATATTGATCAGCACGAAATATCCATCTCATTACATAAGTCATTCTGGTTTATGTTACAATTGTACTTCAGCTCGTCGACATGTGATAATATCTAATGCAGTCCTTTGATGAGAGTTATACAACCGAACAACAGCTAAAACAATCTCACTTATTACGATGTTACAAATGGCCATGGAGGTATGTACAGGTATGTACATGTTCAGTATATATAATACTCATTTTTACTTAATTTACATTAAACATGATTGATAGACTTATATGAATAATTATTTCGGTCAGGATAAAAAAAATCATCCCTACGCAGTATTCTGATGATACCAGGCTTAACAGGGATCAGTTATCGTGAAAGCACGCTCAGTGTACAAAACTGAATTGTATCGTCTTTTAGAGAGAAACGTTAAGATTCCGATCATGTATATTCTTACTTAAATAATACCATATTTTACAACAATTGCGAAAAAAAATCAAATTTTATTTATTGGTTTTGTCTGCCTGAATGGAAGCACGCGAGGGATCTTACTGTTGGGTAAAACCAAACAGTCGGGAAAATCAGGTCACTCCCTACAACCTAATCACGACCCTTCGTGAAATCTCTCCTGCAACATCCAGGTGAAAGACGAGAGTACGTTACCAATACATCAAATCATCCCTATCAGAAACTTCGTCTTTAAAAGAATATATGGATGGTCGGGTGGCGCCGTGGTAACGCATTCGCCTTTCACCTAGCCGTCCGTTGTTCGATTCCCGGAATGGAAGTGAAAAGGTATGAGGTCACCTGTCCGACCACGTGGGTTTTTCCCAGGTACTCCGGTTTCCTCCCACACCAAGACCCCTCGCGCGCTTACATCCGGGCCAACAAGAGTGATTAGTAAAAGCTGACATAACTTGTTTCGCAATTGTCTTAAAATAAATAAAGTTTATAAATTTATAAAAGAATACATCTAAGAAAGAAAATCTAGTCGCTTATATTCCAAGTACCGTATACCAGAACAAGCAACAAATGAAACTTATCAACAGATCAGAACTATGAACCTTAATGTATATGAAATTTGTCCGATAAATCACACTTATAACGAGGCACGTTTGCTCCTCTGCCAATTGAGAAAGGATTCAGTGTCTTCAGACAGATTGCTGTCCATGTCTTTTGAACACTCTAGAGCGGTCGCTCCAGACGATCTACTTTTTCTTTTCCCGCTTTTATGATTACTTAAGGGACTGGACGTGTAAACTTTGTCACGTGGTGACGTCCATTTGTAACATGAGCACGAACATACAGATAATGTGTCATTGAATTCTGGACGTTCTTGTGCGTTTGATACTACACCTCCATTTCCGGTTATGACGTCACCATCGAGTCGCACTGCATTCTGGGCGGCAACAGCAGCTTCCATTTCATCCCGTCGCTCGTCTTCAGTGTTCATCGTGACAAAACGAAGAATTAAAAGATTCATCGCCGCAGATATGACTGTTAATCCAAACAAAATGAATAGAATGCTGAACGCAAAATAATGGGGCTTCTGTTGGACCATGTAATCCTTCTGAAGTGCAACAAAATCACCAAAGCCGATGGTGGTGAGTGTGATGAAACAGTAGTAGAACGCGTCGATGTAGTTCCAGCCCTCCACATGCGAAAACGCTAAAGCCCCGGTAGTTATAATTATTGTTGATAAATTCATAGTCACAAAAAATAAATCAGTTTGAGAAACTTCCGAGTTTTTAAACCGGAAACATTTTTTAATCTGTTTCAAGACAAAAGTCACGAATGTGTTCAGTCTTTCACCAACGCTTTGAAACATGATGATGCATAGTGGAATTCCAATTAAAGCGTAAATCATGCAGAAGGACTTGCCCCAGAATGTCTTTGGTGTACTGTGACCATAACCTGTAAAAAGTAAACAAATGTTACAAAACAATGGACAAAATATACCTATAGTTTACAGATGTTATATCACAGTATAGCGTGACCATTACCTGTAACAAAGTATACATGTCGTACATATGTTATACCAGAATGGTTAGTCACAGTGTAGCGTAACCATTACCTGTAACAAAGTCTATATATAGTGTACAGATGTCATATCACAATGGTTAATCACAGTGTAGCGTGACCATTACCTGTAACAAAGTATACATGTCGTACATATGTTATATCACAATGGTTAATCACAGTGTAGCGTGACCATTACCTGTAACAAAGTATACATATAGTGTACAGATGTCATATCACAATGGTTAATCACAGTGTAGCGTGACCATTACCTGTAACAAAGTATACATGTCGTACATATGTTATATCACAATGGTTAGTCACAGTGTAGCGTGACCATTACCTGTAACAAAGTATACATATAGTGTACAGATGTCATATCACAATGGTTAGTCACAGTGTAGCGTGACCATTACCTGTAACAAAGTATACATATAGTGTACAGATGTCATATCACAATGGTTAATCACAGTGTAGCGTGACCATTACCTGTAACAAAGTATATATATGTCGTACATATGTTATGTCACAATGGTAAGTCACAGTGTAGCGTGACCATTACCTGTAACAAAGTATACATGTCGTACAGATGTTATATCACAATGGTTAGTCACAGTGTAGCGTGACCATTACCTGTAACAAAGTATATATATGTCGTACATATGTTATATCACAATGGTTAGTCACAGTGTAGCGTGACCATTACCTGTAACAAAGTATACATATGTCATACATATGTTATACAACGCTGGGCGAAATACACAGGCACTGTATAGATATTTTAATAAAATAGACAAATTATACAGACACTGTACAAAATAATACACATAGCGTATTGATATTTTACCACAACGAAAATAAACAGGTGTTGTATGGTCTTTAACTATAACAAATTATACAGCTACAGTACAGATATGGTAACAAAATGGACAATTATACAGCTACAGTACAGATATTGTACAACAATGGACAAAATATACAGCTACTGTACAGATATGGTAACACAATGGACAAAATATACAGTTATGTACAGATATTGTACCACAATGGACAAAATATACAGCTACTGTACAGATATGATACCACAATGGACAAAATATACAGCTACTGTACAGATATTGTACCACAATGGACAAAATATACAGTTATTGTACAGATATGGTACCACAATGGACAAAATATACAGTTATGTACAGATATTGTACCACAATGGACAAAATATACAGTTATTGTACAGATATTGTACCACAATGGACAAAATATACAGCTACTGTACAGATATTGTACCACAATGGACAAAATATACAGTTATGTACAGATATTGTACCACAATGGACAAAATATACAGCTACTGTACAGATATGGTAACACAATGGACAAAATATACAGCTACAGTACAGATATGGTTACACAATGGACAAAATATACAGCTACTGTACAGATATTGTACCGTAATGGACAAATATACAGTTATGTACAGATATGGTACCACAATAGACAAATATAGAGCTACAGTACAGATATGGTTACACAATGGACAAAATATACAGTTATTGTACAGATATTGTACCACAATGGACAAATATAGAGCTACAGTACAGATATGGTTACACAATGGACAAAATATACAGTTATTGTACAGATATGGTTCCACAATGGACAAAATACACAGCTACTGTACAGATATGGTACAACAATGGACAAAATATACAGTTATGTACAGATATTGTACCACAATGGACAAAATATACAGCTACTGTACAGATATGATACCACAATGGACAAAATATACAGCTACTGTACAGATATTGTACCACAATGGACAAAATATACAGTTATTGTAGATATGGTACCACAATGGACAAAATATACAGTTATGTACAGATATTGTACACAATGGACAAAATATACAGTTACTGTACAGATATTGTACCACAATGGACAAAATATACAGCTACTGTACAGATATTGTACCACAATGGACAAAATATACAGTTATGTACAGATATTGTACCACAATGGACAAAATATACAGCTACTGTACAGATATGGTAACACAATGGACAAAATATACAGCTACAGTACAGATATGGTTACACAATGGACAAAATATACAGCTACTGTACAGATATTGTACCGTAATGGACAAATATACAGTTATGTACAGATATGGTACCACAATAGACAAATATAGAGCTACAGTACAGATATGGTTACACAATGGACAAAATATACAGTTATTGTACAGATATTGTACCACAATGGACAAATATAGAGCTACAGTACAGATATGGTTACACAATGGACAAAATATACAGTTATTGTACAGATATGGTTCCACAATGGACAAAATACACAGCTACTGTACAGATATGGTACAACAATGGACAAAATATACAGCTACTGTACAGATATGGTACCACAATGGACAAAATATACAGCTACTGTACAGATATTGTACCACAATGGACAAAATATACAGCTACTGTACAGATATGATAACACAATGGACAAAACATGAATGTAGGGCATGGAACGGCAACAACGATTGATAAACATGCACAACCTTTTCATGGGCATGATTCACAACAAATTACATTGTAAGTTAAATTAGCGATCGGATATCATCCGAGTCTTGTATTAATTAATTTCAAAACTTTAAAATAATGAATTAATGAACACAGATTTATTTACATAACACGATAAAGAACTGCGTGTTACGTAAATACCGACTAAGGATTTCTATTTTAAAGATGTTACATAATTAACCGTGTTCTATTAATAGATTTCTATATATATTCCTCCTACCGGCTGTTGTACAAGTGCGTTATCTATAAATATAACGCTCAGTTCAAACGAGGTTGGTTATGTAATAACTACAAAAGTTCTATATCTAATTAAACATTTTGTTTTATCGCTTTCATTTACACGTGATGTACACTCCTCCGCAGTGTTTATTTCTGCTTTCTGCATTAGTAAGTGAATCCTGAATTTTTGTTTTGATTTCCGGCGATAACCATATCGACCAACAGTTGAATTAAACTCTTCGATTCAAAAATAAAATTTATTATGGGTATTTAAGAAATATTGAGTAAAAGAATTGAGATTAAAATAAATATCATAACGCGTTGCAGAATCGAACCCATAATTTATTATTAGATCTAATTAAATGCAAAAAAATACATTATTATAGAATTCCTTAAACATATATTTCATATATAATATTGGACCGTTTAATTGATGTACCATTATGTATCTACATAAAAATACAATTTACATATAACAAACAAACATTTATATAGAATACAACATTTATTAACTGGTATTGACTTCATTTAACATTTTAACATACAGAGGTTCCATACCCCGTCATAGCATAGTAAACCTAGTTAATCGGATATACATTGTTGACCATGTGTTACAATGAAGGAAGACAACAGACCGTGTTCATGATGGAAAGTAAGAAAAGTGAAGTAAATATAGACAAAATGTACGTTGCGTAAAATAAAACACATTATCTGATAGCTCGTGCTATTTACACTGAAGGGATATCACAACAGCGAGGTTTTTATTACAGTGTAATCTGAAGCGTAACCATATCACATATCACATCAAAAGTCATGAAAAATTAACTTCATCCTTTTCTATTTCTATCATCATTGGTGACGTCATGCACGCGCAGGTGTAGTATAGAACCTCACTGATGAGCTATAACGTCATTGATTAAAACGCAACGAGTCCTTAATCTGTTAATGACGTCAGAAAACACAGAGCTGTGAGGTTAAACACGTGCTTGTAGATGCCTTACTATTATAACAGCACTGCATAGTTGTTTAACCGATTATAATAAATAATGATTTTATTTCAGTGAATATGTAGATCAGGAAAGATGTTTGATATACCGAAAAATGACCTACTTCCCAGTTTCATATATATATTGTTCATTACGTCTCCAGATAGCAAAATATACAATTTGTTTTTGAATCACCAAATGAATATTACATTTGTGAGAGTACGTACGACTGGACGCATATATATGTTATAAAATAAAGTGCATTGTATATCGGAAATTAATGTTGGATGAATTCATTGTTTTAAACATTGCTACATGGTTTGAATCAACGTTAATCATCACTCACCTATTACTGCCACCACGACCAAAGAAAAATACAGAGCGCCTCCGAACTTCCACTGGATGACCTCCTGGTATGGACGGGACCAGATGACATTGTGCTGAATGCTTTTAAAATCGTTTTCTGAAATGTTATATTTCTTTAGTATCTCGTCTTCTTCCGCAAATAATCGTCTTCTGTTTTCTAGTTCATACTCCGATTCTAGGGCGTCAAACACGGCCGCCCCTATCAGAAGATAGGTAAATGTACAGACAATTAAAGACAGGGTCCGGACGTTCTGTCGTTTCATTGTTTACGTATTTCAAAGTTATTTCCAAAAAAACAAAATTATCCAGTGTTCAACACACAATCATGTTCCTGTTTGGAATGTTCAGGGACGAAGGTATGTATTCAATATCCTATTTCAATAATTATATTCAAGTGTTGATCTGTACACCAGACACACGAAATTCTCGCCAGAACTACACTGTTAATTTCCTGATATTCGGTCGAGAACAGCTGCTAGTCAATGGTTAGGCCCTTTGGTGCTATAAAACGCAATACCCTCAACAGGTTTTGCGTGTTATCATTAAACAAGCCTCTGTTCTCCAGCAGTAGAGATGTTCTCTGTCATACCGTCGGCAACAAAATGATTACAAAACACGATTTGTAGTAAAAGCAGCACGGACCTTTTAATTAATACGCCATTTAAAACGATTGCTTTTAATAATCACCATGACCTCCTTTCCTCCGCGGCAATAGCATGCTTTCCCCTTTTTATCAAAAGATGGACTGGACGCGATGTTTTCTCATACTTATTTCCTGTCATAAGCAAACTAATCAAATCACAGACTGCTGCCATCAACGGCGTCCTTTTAGGATTTTTTATCGTTACATCTACGCAGTGGTACAAACATCTTTGATGTGTCAGAACAAATCTTCATTAGTAAGATCTCCAGAAGCCGGGAGAATGAACTATTCCCAAAGTATATATATAGATATTAGTAGATCTGTGTAGCTTGTAATCCGTATATTCGCCAACAGAGGTGATTCCCGGGCGCGCGTGCAGCCAATGTATACACAGCAGCAACACTACTTATCCGCCCCGTGCGATCGATGCAGTGGTGACTACACGTAAATACCTCACTCCGTGCTCCGCCTCGCCAATGGTTAGCATTCAGTAAAAAGCGTCTATAACAAGCGGCATCCGTCCTTTCTCCTAAGGGATCGCCAATGGTGTGTGTCGTTGGTCGTTGTAGTGTCTCGGTTCATTGGCTGTAGAACTTTGGGAATATTATCTGCTTGTGAATTTAATTATAACCAAAATTACCTAGTTAGTATCTAATTATCTAACCATATATCATTAGGGGCTACAAAATCACCAGCCTGGTTAATTTAAAAGGAGACTGTAATTGACTGCCATGAATATTCAGTATTCAGTCTTTTAAAGATGAGCGTTTAGTCGTAATAAATATCGTTATTCAGTGTAATATTTCATATTTTTTGAAACTAAAACAAACTATATATTTCCAACGGAATTCGAAATGACACATCTTACCATAACCAAACATATTCACATATGGAAAAATTAATGAAGACGATGGTTAACAGCGCGCAAATACTTTCAGCGAGTTTTTAGATGTTAATAACCGATAGGGGACGAAGAGATATTAAATTTTAATATGTTCGTTTCATTCCCGCTGATTATCAACTATTGCTTATAAGATGTTACTAATTAGTAACACGACCAGCACTCTATTGGCGTTAAATGATATTCTTCAACAAACAAAGTTTGTATCAATTATATTGTTTGTCGTCCTTACAACAGACGAGGTAAAGAGAAGGAAAACAGGCTTTGTAAACACTGTTAAATATAAGCGTGGGCGTGATGTACAAACACAATATAGTGATGATGATGATGATGATGGTGGTGGTGGTGGTGGTGGTGGTGGTGGTGGTGGTGGTGGTGATGGTGATGGTGATGATGATGATGATGATGATGATGATGATGATGGTGGTGGTGGTGGTGGTGGTGATGATGATGATGATGATGATGATGATGATGGTGGTGGTGGTGGTGGTGGTGGTGGTGGTGATGATGATGATGATGATGATGATGATGATGATGATGATGATGATGATGATGATGATGATGATGATGATGATGATGGTGGTGGTGGTGGTGGTGGTGGTGGTGATGATGATGATGATGATGATGGTGGTGGTGATGATGATGATGATGATGATGATGATGATGATGATGATGATTTTTAAGATGATGATGATGATGATGATGATGATGATGATGATGATGATGATGATGATGATTTTAGCTTTGTTTATTTTTCTCCTAAACAGAAAACACGGGAGAAAATCCACTATTTCATGAGACCAATAATTCTGTTTGTACTTTGGTTTTGCCTTGTGTATTACTAGAGACCAGTCTTCGATCTTCTGTCCTTAGGTTCTGCTAATTTGTCAATCATTTCACTTCACAATCCATTCTCAATTATGATTAGCACTGTTATTTTCAATGTAACAAGGCAATATCACCATAGCAAAATGATCGATGAATTACGCGATCGACAGATTGAGTTGTTGGAATTTAGAATGAATGTAAACATGATCTTTATGGCTGGTCTCTTAAGGATGTTGGTTTTCTAAAATACCACACAATTAAGTGAGTGAGATTTTGTTTGTGTGCATGCTGGGGATGGGTTTGAAGCGAGGTCTCTGTACAGTGGCTTGTGATTACCACAATTAACAACATCCGAGAGGCAGGCCATCCGATGTTATCTAGAACAAAACGCGGAAGGTGTCTCACCCGAGGACACAACCGCGTCAGCAGTGTCCATTCTATTTCCCAGCAACTTGAGAAACACAAACCGCGACGAGTGGGTAGGATCGAACCGCACACCTCGGATCTTCTAGCCGACCATTCAGGCCCTTTGATTGAGAGTCAAAAAGGAAATAATTGGTGATATTATAACCCTTGATATAACATAACCCAGTCACGTCAGTGACGTCAGTACCGTCGATTGACCCCGACCCGTCTCCATTACATATAAATGTTGCCAATAAAACTGAATTTGCGCCAGTCTAGTTACGGTATATTTACAGTTTCAAATTTCAATAACACAGAATGGTCACATGTTGCTCGTCATATACCAATTCATTAACATCCATTTATAAAATTTAACATATGTCTGATTGTTGAGTCAGATATTCATGTTACATCGCAATGGCGGTCACCTACACGCGATAAAAATATAACGAATATGTTGATCTGCCTCTCTGTTCCTGTCTATTAATTTGGATCTTAAATTGGCATCAAGGGACTTTCTTTTTTGTCCAATCAGATAACTGCAGAAACGTTTTGCGCGTCGTTGAAAACATACGCAGGCACATTTTGCGACATAGCTGCGGTATGATATCGCTAATGAGAAGCCTGCGGGTATTTCAAAGCATAAAGATTTTATAAAAAAAAAAACACCCGGCCAACGACAACATATTGCTGAAGGCTGTAGATTTTATGTGACATGCAATTAAACGATTAGGATTGTTTAGATGGATAAATCCTTGTAGACCGTCAGTACCAAATGAATAAATATACCACATTATCGACACGAAATGAAAAACTATACAAACCAACAAAATATACAACAACATCAACTAACAAGGCAAAATATACCACGATATCAACACACAAGGATAAGATATACCACGATATCAATACACAAGGACCTTGTAGACCGTCAGTACCAAATGAATATATATACCACATTATCGACACGAAATGAAAAACTAAACAAACCAACAAAATATACAACAACATCAACTAACAAGGCAAAATATACCACGATATCGACAGAGGAGGACAAAGTATACCACGATATCAATACATCAGGACAAAATATACCACGATGTCAACACAGAAGGACAAAATATACCACGATATCAACACAGAAGGACAAAATATACCACGATATCAACACATCAGGACAAAATATACCACGATATCAATACACAAGGATAAGATATACCACGATATCAATACACGAGGACAAAGTATACCACGATATCAACACACGAGGACAAAGTATACCACGATATCAACACACGAGGACAAAGTATACCACGATATCAACACACGAGGACAAAGTATACAACGATATCAACACACGGGGACAAAGTATACCACGGGGTCAACACACGAGGACAAAGTATACCACGATATCAACACACAAGGACAAAGTATACCACGATGTCGACACACGAGGACAAAGTATACCACGATATCGACACACGAGGACAAAGTATACCACGATATCAACACACGAGGACAAAGTATACCACGATATCAACACACGAGGACAAAGTATACCACGATATCAACACACGAGGACAAAGTATACAACGATATCAACACACGAGGACAAAGTATACCACGATATCAACACACAAGGACAAAGTATACCACGATATCAATACACAAGGACAAAGTATACCACGATATCAACACACGAGGACAAAGTATACCACGATATCAACACACAAGGACAAAGTATACCACGATATCAACACACGAGGACAAAGTATAACACGATATCAACACACAGGGACAAAATATACCACGATATCAACACACGATGACAAAATATACCACGATATCAGTACACGAGGACAAAATATACCACGATATCAACACACGAGGACGAAATATACCACGATATCAACACACGAGGACAAAATATACCACGATATCAGTACACGAGGACAAAATATACCACGATATCAACACACGCGGACAAAATATACCACGATATCTGTACACGAGGACAAAATATACCACAATATCAACACACGAGGACAAAATATACCACGATATCAACACACGCGGACAAAATATACCACGATATCAGTACACGAGGACAAAATATACCACGATATCAACACACGCGGACAAAGTTTACCACGATATCAATACACAAAGTATACCACGATATCAACACACAAGAACTAAATATACCACAGCGTCAATACACAAGGACAAAATATACCACGATATCAAATACACGAGGACAAAGTATACCACGAGTTCAACACACAAGGACAGTGTATACCACGATATCAATACACAAGGACAAACTATACCACGATATCAACAAACAAGGACAAAATATACCACGATATCAACACACAAGGACAAAGTATACCACGATATCAACAAACACGGACAAAATTTAACACGATATCAACACACGAGGACAAAATATACCACGATATCAACAAACGAGGACAAAATATACCACAGCATCAACACACAAGGATAAGATATAGCACAGCGTCAACAAAGAAGGATAAGATATAGCACAGCGTCAACAAAGAAGGATAAGATATAGCACAGCGTCAATACACAAGGATAAGATATAGCACAGTGTCAACACACAAGGATAAGGTATAGCATAGGCAACACACAAAGATAAGATATAGCATAGGCAACACACAAGGTTAATATATAGCACAGCATCAACACACAAGGTTAAGATATAGCATAGTGTCAACA